GATGGTAAACACAAACCTGTCCAAATTCTTCCTATGATGCAAGGTTAGTGGTTAGTGAGTCTTAAACCATGTATGCAGATGATGGTCACGGAGTATTTTTTTAAGAGGCTGTCCGCTCACTGAAACCACGTGGACAGTGTTTATCTATTATCCTAGTAAATACTAGATCAGTTCTAAACAAACACTTTACGTTAAGTACATTAGCTTCTATATGCAGACCATCATTGATTATGATAATTGAAGCCTGGTGCACAAGTGATATCTCCAATGATAGCCTAAGGATTGATAAATACAACCTTTTTCGAGGGGACAGGTAGAGAGGGCGTGGGGTGGAACACTAATTTACTGTGGAAAATCCTTGTGTGCAACCCAGTTCAGTAACCCAATTCTGTCACAACTCAATGACTCCATCTGGGTTGAAATAAAAGTTGTCAGAAGTAAACCTATACTTGTGAGTTGTGTGTACCGAACCCCTTCATCCAACAGGGAATATGATAATACGCTCAGCAACATTTTTAATGTTACAGCCAATCTTCCCCACAGTTATAAAATTATCGGAGGTGATTTCAAAATGCCAGAAGAATCATGGCCTTCACTCCGAGGACCCCAAGGGTACGATAATCTCCTGAATTCCATCGTCACAGGAGGGTGGAGACAACACATAAATTCACCCACTAGATATGCAAATATCCTAGACCTTATTTTCACGAACAACATACAACCATCTACAGTACATGTGGGACATGAATTTTCAGGTAGTGACCATAAAATAGTAGTGTGTTCTATAGGCATCTTTCCTGAAGCAAAACGCAGAGATGAAGCTGGCCAGACACGTATGAGATTGTACACACAAGCTGACTGGGAATTGTATCAGCACCTAATTAGATGTTCTAATTGGGACTCGTACTTTTCGAACGAGTCCTTAGAGGCAATTCTTAACAACTTTTATCAGAATATTAACTCAATTCATGACGTCATTGCACCTGAGAAGATTCTTAGCTTCAGATTCCCCCAAAGCGATTATATACCGACATCTTTTAGGAGATGTCTACGAAAGCACTCAATAATATACTACAGATATCACGACTTATCATCATTAATTGCTATTACGTCCCTTCTCAAAAGAATTGAAGAGTTGAGAAATATAGGCCTCAGAAACAAAGAAATGCGAGCCATTCAGGCACCACATAACTCAGAAGAAATAGCCAAACTTTTCAAAAGCTCCAGAACAGCCAATTGAAAAATGATATACTTAGATGCATTGCTTGCAAGAATACTGAGGTGATATGTGAACTGTTTAGCATAGCACTTTGCCAGACTACACACCTTGAGTAACGATGATGTCATGGATTTCCCACGTAAAAGAGACGAATGTCTGAGTGATGTACTTTTCACCACATAAGAGATCGATGAAGCTGTTGCAAATCTTAAGCTTAGTAACACTATTGATCCGGACGGTATATCTTCCACCCTGCTGAAAAACGGTAGTAGCGACATGAATTTACTCTTACTCAAATTATACTTAATTTCACTAAGCTGTGCGACATACTCTACCTGTTGGAAGAAGTTTTATATTGTACCTATCTGTGGCTGTGTGACGGTTTTCCATTTCGGTCGCCATCTGAGCATGGTGCAAACAGCATTAAATTCAGCATTCGAAAATCATTTTGCATCCCATAGCAAGGCGTTCCTAACCTCAAAGGCCAAAACGCTTAGGCGAGTGCATTTGTCACGTGCTATGAGACATCCGAGCGATTATGAAAGCTTGACATGTTCTATGTATACTAACTCAGGTACTTATTGTATTCATTATCATAATGCGGCACATAGGAAACATATACCACGATTTGTTGGAAATGGAAATAATCTAAAGCGGTTGTCTTTAATTGAATCTTGACGCTTTTACGGGTAAATTGGCTCCAATTAACGCTTATTTAAAAATAATCTAAGAGCCACCTGATGATAACGTGCATATATGGAGGAGACAGCAGTAGCAGTTAAGTGCGTTTTGAGTAGGAAATTTCAGGAACCTAATCAGACATAAAGGAGAGTCCCTTTTGTCCACTTGGCGGAAATAAATGATGAATGTTACTCCGTGTCTTTGAAAAGATTTACCCGCTTCGCTTACCCACCAGTATGGTTAGTAAGTACAGGTTCAGTCATAACTACTAACTTATATATAAGCACTATCGCCATAAAGCTTTTGTAATTATTTTGTTACGAGAGCTGATTACTATTTCAGAGTGACTGAATCGCCTCTCAAGTTGATGACAACGTTCAGAACTACCTATGAGCATAGAGTGGTGGAAATTGGTGTCTGATACTAATTGAATTTATTGCCCTACATACTAGGTGGAGAAGCATCGACCAGTATGCACAAATGTTTCAATTGGGAACTCACACCATCTTTGAATGCAAACCAGTACATGCATTAAAAGTGCGCTACCCTGCGCATGGTAGACCTGTTTTGCACAAAGGGCTTACACACAAGAAATGGGACGTAAGCGACATTAGATGCCTTCTACATCCGGACATCAATGACCACGTAGTCATTACTTTTAATGATTTATTGTTGATTGCAGGCGGTTTTAGTATATTGCATCAATATATAATAATTAGTGGTCAGATGATCCAGAAGAGTTAAGTGAATGGTCTAACTGCTGGAATTCGGGAATTTATTCCAAAGATTGCTGTAATTCACCCAGACCTGATAAAACGGACGAAAGTTTTTACTAGTTGTGGTTAGCCATTACTTGAAAGCAACTACATATTTTAGTACAGATATAGATGAATCATTACAATTGTAAGTGGCACTCCGAAAAGCTTTAAAGGCTTAAACAGGTTTATGGTTTAGCTAATCAAATACTAGGCATATGTTGTGGTGACAGTTAGCTGCAAGCAAAAATTTGTAGACAGCAATTTGCGTCAATGCTTACGTCCCGAGTCGGGGGCATGAGAAAAATAGTTACAAAGCTTAAACTTAAGGAACTCGCCAACCAGTCACAGCAGACTAAACGTGTGCAAATACGATTCGCAGATATATGGCTTAACTTTCTAAGGAACGGTCACAAGCAGTACAGAATAACATTGAGCAAGAAAACAACCAACCAGAAGACTTTGCTTCTCCACTGACAATAATTTACATAAAAATCCATAAATATCTCTTGATTTTCTCAATAAGCGATCTGTTGCCTGGCTCTTGTCTTCTGTCGTTACAACGTGAGATGTTATCTAGTACTTTATATACAGGCGGCCAGTCTGACTTAAGTAGGCACAAGTCTCGGGAAAAGTACGAGAAGTGAGCTCTAAGTTAGTAAAATATAAGGCCTGCCCTATCATATTGACAGAGGAAAGGTAATCTCATTTTGGTTTGTCGTATATTAAAGGGTGGTTCGCCATATCTTTAAAATATAGAAAATATCCCCATTTAGACATTTGGAAAACACAAAAGATTGAGCGAAGAAATATTTACTTTTCAATTAGATCCTCTTCTCTGGCTCTACTCTAATATAACATTTTTACAATACACAACAATTTACCAAACAAGTGGTGATATGTTTGTTAACAATATTTAAACAGTGTCGAAATGTCAATGGGTAGATAATTAACGCAGAAAATCAATACACATTTAAAAAAGTAGAAATGGATAGAATAAATTAATTTTACAAGAATAACACGTAATTAAAGATGAAGCGGTCAAAATAAAAATAAAATAATTTGGACAATTATAATTTAATAGGGGGAGGGGAGCGACGTAGTCCTGTCTTGTAAGGATGGCCACGGTAAGCAAAGTGGCTGTACAAATTTCTTCTGTACACATAGGCTTGGCTTCTTAAGGTGGATTCCGATTGCTTCTGCTGTCTGTAGAAGACGAACTCTTAGAGCAAAGTTGAGATTAGTCGGAATGCGATAAATGATTTTGAATGCAGTATTCACATCAACCTTGTGCTCGGTATCAACAAGGTGTGCTAAAATAGAACTCCGAATAGATTTTGTTTGTCCCTTGCTTAACCACGCTGGATGATGTTCAGAAATACGACGATGAAACTACCTAATTTTGCCTCTTCTATGTGTGTCTACCAGTTTGACTGCAGCTGCGGAGCCAGCTACATTGGGCGTACAATTAGGCAGTTTCATCGTCGTATTTCTGAACATCATCCAGCGTGGTTAAGCAAGGGACAAACAAAATCTATTCGGAGTTCTATTTTAGCACACCTTGTTGATACCGAGCACAAGGTTGATGTGAATACTGCATTCAAAATCATTTATCGCATTCCGACTAATCTCAACTTTGCTCTAAGAGTTCGTCTTCTACAGACAGCAGAAGCAATCGGAATCCACCTTAAGAAGCCAAGCCTATGTGTACAGAAGAAATTTGTACAGCCACTTTGCTTACCGTGGCCATCCTTACAAGACAGGACTACGTGCCCCCCCTATTAAATTATAATTGTCCAAATTATTTTATTTTTATTTTGACCGCTTCATCTTTAATTACGTGTTATTCTTGTAAAATTAATTTATTCTATCCATTTCTACTTTTTAAATGTGTATTGATTTTCTGCGTTAATTATCTACCCATTGACATTTCGACACTGTTTAAATATTGTTAACAAATATATAAAAACAGAAGAGGATCTAAGAAAGTAAATATTTCTTCGCTCAATCTTTTGTGTTTTCAATATCTTTAAAGTTTGTCGCGAAAAGGTGCTCAAATCCAGAATGAAGAAAATGAAGGTGAAATTTAATTTCTTACAGAGAGAGGTCTGCTACAGAAACCCCTTATTCAAAAAATTAACATTGTTACCGTCTAAGAAAGCTTTCAAAAAGAAATTGTGTTTCTGTAGAGATGGCTATTATGAGGAACAAAATGGCCTGATGTAATCAATTAAAGCGAACTGTATGATGAGTTGAATTTAACTTAATTTGACATTTGTATTTCCTAAATACTGTGTACTACGCGGTTACCACACAAATAGAGAGGGACATCAATATCTAGCACTTGATTACCGTGTTGTTTATACAATTCAATGATTGACCTAAACAACCCAAGGTGATCTTTCAAAAATTATGATTTACGATGGAAGTTTTGAAAAGGCGGTTAAATGAGTTTAGAGAAGAAGAAGATGAACTCAGAAACAGGATTGAAGACTTAGAAATAGAGATAAAAAAGGTGGTTGAGAATACTCACAAAGTATGACTTCATTCACCTTTTATTGAGCGTCTAAGGTTAATGCTGAACACTATGAACTGGTATCTAAAGAAATGCTTTTGAAACAAAAATGTGAATCGCAAAACGCCAGGTTAAAAAATGCACTCAGTAGGCTTTCTGATCAAACAGATAGTCACTGTCAGCACACTAGGTAAGCCTTAATCATGATTTCCGAAAATTCTAGAAAGTTAGAAAATTTGAGTAACAAGAATGATTCTCAAGACTCCAGAATAGACGAATTAGAAGCCGAATTGTCAAGGCTACGAGCTGAACAATTGGAGGTCCAAAGCCGCCTTGATGAGGTAAGTGTGAAATTACTATTCCATGTAGCGCTTTTAGACAATACTTCACTTGAAGCACGTAGAATTTGCCAAAGATAATGCTGAAAAGCGAGCTGCTATCACTGAGTCGTATGATCACATTTTTTAAAACTTATTAGTTAAAGGAGACTGCAGGATCTTGAGAAACAACACGTATGCACAGCAGATGCATTGAGACTTGCTGAACTGAATGATATGCAGGTGAGTAGTTCAACTGGTATTTTTTTCCATTGTTAATCGTAAGGGATTTCTTCCCTAATGATTGTTAATGTTGAGTGTTTGTTATCCAATAAAATGTCACTTCGGGTACGCTCTTGAAGTCTACTTGTAATGGGCAATATTGCTGTTGCTACTGTAACCTAACTTGGCTCTTAGTTTTCTGGCATCAAATGACTTTCTTAACACAGCAAGGAGGAGATAGATTAAATTCCACTTGGGGATTTCTCTATATGTTATTATTAGTTTTCCTTCATCTAGACCACATATCATATATAACTACAGATCTTAGTTTTTGTTAGGTATTCTCAGCTCTAAGCCTGTGAACTGTCAGTGCATTTTAGAGTGTTATTTAACGATGGAAACCTATGATTATGAGCATTTCAATAATTCTACTTATGACCTAAATAAAAGTCACTGCAGGCATTAGTTCCAGTCATAGATCTTCATTAAAGTATCATCATAGATTGTTTACAGTGCAGTTTCAGACATCATGGTGTAATACAAATTCACACTGTGGCAATAATAATACCCACTTTATTTTAGAAAGTAAGCTGCTTAAATTGGTAATTGGTTTAGTTGGTGGCTTGTCCGTGTAACTTCACAGTATTTCGCACAAAGTTTTGTCGAAATACTTCAAGGAAAAATCTTCAGACATCTGAAATTCGTCTAGGGGCAGCTGCACGAATTTGACACTTCAGAAGAATATATAACTTAATAGGTACTGTTAACTCATCCTAATTATTGACCTTAGTTCATATATGTCAAAAGATGATTCTTATGTCTTCTTAAATTGTTTAGAAACGTGAACGAAAGATTTTGAACCACCTAACTAATATTGAATTCCTCTATAGTTACTGGTTAATTAACATCTAGACATTTAGGAGATTAATCGGTATAATTCCTTCTTGTATTCCTAACACCGGTGACCACATCACTTGAGGCCTCTTAACTTCATCATATTTACTTAAATTTTCAACGATTCTTGTTAATAATTTTGCATAGATGAACTTGATGTTGGTTAGAATTTACTACTTAAGTGAGACTTAGTTTAAGCTTCTAATTAGTATCGGACTGTACTCTTTTATCAGATAAGTAAACTCCATGATTCAGTGCTTCCTGACAGATCACAACATATTCAGGGAGATTACTGACAAAAGATTACTGTTTTTGTCATTTAAAGTCAGGATAGTACAGAACACAGCATATGTAGACTGATGTGTCAATTCTTGCTAAGTGTTGTGACATCATTTTCTTTCTTTTGTTGTCAATTTGAAATGTAAATTGTTTAGTATAAGTTCAGGTGTTTGTGATTCTAATTGTAGACAAACAGACAGTCATATCGAAGTAGAATCCCCTAAAAAGGCATTCATTTTCGGCATTGCTCACTTCAGAACAATACAGCAAAATTCGATAACTAGTCTCCATTGTGCAAGCAGCTTGCACTCGATTAATTAGCGGTTAGTGCGATTCTTCTATATTTCAAAGATGATTACGTGTGTTTCACATCGTTTCATTGTTTAACCGTGTTGTCGAGTATCCATCCTGGCAATCTACATGGATTAGCGTCATGGTTTTATCCAGTTGTCTTGAATATTATACAAAAGACATTCACACTTAAGCAAACCTAAACTACGCTCTGTGTTAGATTATTCTATAGAACTGTCCTGTTCGTATCTCCTTAAATGGTGTATTGTATGTTGTGAGATAACTGCGTAGAACTCACTTGAAATTTAGGGATTCTCCAGCTTGTCTGAAAAATCTTATCCGTAGAACGACGTAACATTTTGCCAATTTTTCAACTTTCTTATAGTATTTGTCTACGGATGACTTGGAAATGAAAGAGAAAAATTTACGGGAACAATTACAAGTGGTAAGATTATACTTATTCTTTTGTTTGCTGATTTATGGCCGTCAATTTTGCTTCATTTTGACCTGCAAAGTTTATCATGTTTAGATGTTTAATTTATCCCTACTAATGTAGTCGATTAGAACATAGATTATAATTATTCTTATCACCAATTCATAATAAATGGCAGAAAAATATACGACGGTTCTAAAAATCTTTTGGTATATTTTGTGTCCGTTTTAGCGTCCCTTCAAGTCACACCTTTTTCATTTTAAACTAAAGGAAGGTTTATCCTTCAAAAGTTTAGACATCAATATTCCTGTATTGGTTCACAACCAAGCCGAATAGGCGGCGTTCTGAAAAGAAATTTGAAAACTCTAACTGTACTCATCCCAGGGAACCTAACATTGACTGTTTCCAGCCGTATTGACAAGACTGTACCAGTGTGATTGTCCACGTATCAAAAGGTATACTCTGTTATTTTACAGTAAGACTGTTGGGTCCATCTTTCAAAACTGCTTATGCAGTCTGTATGACAATTGGTGGGATATGAATTCGTTACTAGTCACATTAGAAATGGTGATTGCTAAGACAAATCACAAACTTTGAGGAACTGATTCGCAAACACCTGGATGGATTTCTTTGAAATCGTGTATGGTTGATCAGGTGTTGCCACTTAGTAACTTCTCAGTCGTCATCATACCTATTAAATATCAGAAATCATTATAGCTGTAGATTTGTTGAACAGATTTGGCATTTAAATTGTCTCTGAGGTTTTCAGTCTATTGAACACTTCATGATAATCTCGTAGATTATTGACATACAGCCAGTTATTAAAACTATTCCGAAACACTGTTGTGTTAGGTTAGACTTTTGAATTCCAGTTTTCCTTTTAATCTTTGCCACTCATGATATATTTTGGGGTACCTTTGAATGTAAGTGGTAATTGTGTGAACCTACTGCCCGTATATGCAGACGATATCCTCTTCCTGTGTGACAGCATATAGATTACTCAAGTCGCGCTTAATCAATTTAAACATATGTATTCTTAATATGAGCTTTGTACCATCATAGTCCTATATACCTATACAAGACTAACAGTAACATGGAGTTGTGCTCAACCTCCCAATTTGTAGGAAAAACTAGGAGACTTATTATATCTAGGTATGACCGTATTATACGTATATCAAAAGCCAAGGTCTAACAGACCATTTTGGATCACTTCTGACTGTCAAAATTTGGATGTTCAGCAACTCAGCATGTTTGACCATTTCTATATCTGTTGTACTTCTACTATTTCTGTAGCAGTACCATGAGAGTCTGTGTAAGATCAGACTGCGTTTTCTGCTTTGGTCAAGGAAGAGGTCGTTTGTCACAAGAGAGAAGTTGATAAACTCGTGACTGATGTTGGGTTTGTGTTAAAGGGTCTAACAAGATTCCTATTGATGAGATCTGACTTGTTATTTCACTCAGTTGCTGAAGATATTATCAAATATAGATGATGATTGCAAGCAGTACTTATCATGACATAGTTTTCCTGATTCTTTTACTATCGAAAGCAATGCGAAGTTACAATAGTTTTACTTTAATGTACTCAAGAAGGAACGCATGCATCTCCTTATCTTTCTGTTATTCTGTTTTATTTTAATTTTCATCTTGAACTGTTGTACTATTTTCTTTCGATACTTAAACTGTATCACTTCGGATGACTATATGGCAATAATTTTTGCTCGCATCCTTTAGTAGTTGTATGGTTTTATTAGTTGGTTATAAAATATATGGAGAACATTATCACGGAAAATCGTTCTAATTTGAACGTGGTTTAGAATATTATGTGCAAAGATGTGTCTAATTACACAAGCTGTATTTTTTTGCACGTAATGAGCCAGTATTGCTCTTTATTTTTTTACGCGACGTCTTTTGTTTCGTGGAGTTGTGGTTCATTGGTCTGTGTGCTTGACTTTCGACCAGTGGGTCAGAGTGTCGAAACCCGTTTCACCTACGGAAGTTTGGGCAGCCAGATAGTATCACTAACCCTGCCATATAAATAGGTTTGGCTTATTGCCAATGCACGTGATTGCAGTTGATTGGTCCTTTATTTCTGAAAAACCCATCCTCCTCGTGTTTGTACACCTGGCACTAATGAAAATAGTAACTACTTAAAATTGTAACTTAGATGTCATTTCTATACATTTATCATGGAACTAAGTTATATTTGTCAATGGTACTATGTCCAAAGCCCCATGTAGTCGGTATTGCGGGAGCTTCAGACGGCAATCCACTTATTAAAAGCTTAGTGCTTAGAATAATGATCTACAGGTCTGTATAAAGATTAAAATGTTGGTTTGCTCAGGGGCTTTAAAAACTGAGTTGTTTTTAAAAATTTATTATTGGAGAAATTGTGGAGTAGGATGAAACATGTTTTCCTTCATGACTATTGTTCACTCATCGTGTCGACCCATATTTGTGCACCATGTATATTTATTTTATTCCTTTACATTCCGAGTGGAATTCAGGGCTTCAGATTAGAGCTTTGAAGTTTCTGTAGCTGTACTAAACTATTAGTCACACTTTTTGTAACAGGGCTGATGATGCTATCCATCTATCCAGGCTGAAGTAAATGGGGAAGCAGTTTAACCTGAAGCCCATTGGATGAAAGTCAACTACTTACGCACTTGGATACATATAGTCTCCATCTGTAGATTTTCTGTTTTCGTTTATCGGTGTTATCTAAGAAAATTTGCGAGCTTTTACTATCAGACCCCTTTTGATATAGCTAAAAGCTGCATGTAACTGTACATATGGATTTAGTTTTATATATATTTCTTAGAATAAAGCACTCGCTTTTCTTGTGGGGAAGTAACTCATCGGCATAAGCTGTTGACTTACAGCCCACGGGTTTCAGGCTCGAATTCAATTCTACCTACTTCAGCTTGTGCGTTGTTGGTGAAGTCGTAGAGTGCTCGCCAACCACGCACCTGAACTGCTTCACTTCCTGGCCGACTCAATCCTAGACCTCTCTTAGCTGAGAGTAAGACAGGTAAAGAGGAAAGGTTGGGTGTGGGGTTAACACCCCCTACTATTGAAACATCAAAGCTCAGTCTTGAAGCCCTATGTTCCATTCGGAGCACTTCAACCCAAGCAAATGGGTAGTATTATGTGCCTTAACATAATAAATTTGGCTCATATTTTGAATCTTTAAAGGTTTATTCAGAGTAACTAAGTTAAAAAATTGAGTTTTCCGATTCACCTGTTTCTCGCGGTTCTTTCAACTCTCACTTACACTGCGTTTTTTCTCTGTTGGTCACCTTCTGCTTATTATATACTACTTCTTTTTTAGTGCTTTTTTATTCCTTGTGTGCTGAGTGGAACACAGGACTGCATGTTTGAATTCTTGGAGATTCAGTAGCTGTAGTTTGTTTTTACGAGGTGGAGTTGTTAGCCTCACACGCAATCTTCCATCCTTTCCGAGCTCATTACGGGCTAGAGATGTAAGCGATGTGTCTAGGAGGGCGTCGGTAGGGAGTCGAGCCCTGGACCACTTTCATGGTTGGTTAGCGAGCATTCTACCACTGTACCACCGGCATTTATTTTCTCTAAATTCTTAAATATTTCAGCTGATTTTGGTCATTCCTTCTAGGTGGAGATGCTGAAAAAATGCAGAGTCGTCTGAACACCTTGAGCTGCAATCTGCAAATGTTTGGCATGCGATTCGCTCCCGCCAAATGTAAGATGATGCTACAGGACTGGAGTACATTGACTCCTAGCTTAGAAATAGGAAGTGAAGTGGTTGATAGAGCGTGTTGACCACTTCACTTATTTGGGAAGTTGCATCAGTCCCAATGGGTTGATCACTGACGAAATCTCAGCGCAGATACAGAAGGCTAGTTTCGCATATGCCAGTTTACTCCGTCTCTGCCTTAGACGTGCTATCCGACTGGCTGCTCCGTCCTCCTTTATGGCTGTGAGTGAAACATGGCCATTAAAAGTGGAAGACACGAAAAGGCTGAGTAGCTTTCTTTGTTTGTAGATGTCTGCGTTCTATCTCCAGTGTGAAGTGGTAGAACAGGGTGAGAAATATTGAGGTTACGCATCGGTCAAGTGCTAGGTAAGTGGGAGGGGAATTCAATAGAAGAGGCTGTGAAGTTACATCGACTGAGATGGTTAGGACATGTATTACGCATGCATGCCTAGCCTCGCCTTCCTCGATGGGCAATGTTGGCTGACTGACATAGGATAGGTCATGTTGGAAAAAATCGAGTGGTAGTGGTCAAACGAAAACATGGCTTCCTCAGTCAATGAAATCCACCACAGTTAGTTTAAGCCGGCCATGTAGGGAGGTGTAGACTGCTGTCTGTTTGGTGTCCTCGGGATGGTAAAAATCAATGGCTGGAGGCAAATGGTGATATGGCTCAAAATCCTCGTTGTCAATAGCTGGCGCAGATGCATGCACTCCTTGTGACTTATAATACCCAATAAAACTATATTGTTCTTCCATATTACTATTCTTTTTGCCTCATATCTTTCTTTACTGCCTCTATTTTGCGTTTCTTTTTACTTTCTTCTCTTGCTTTGTGTGCTACATGTGGGGAGTGTGGCGACTCGAACTGCTGCACATCGGTGCAAAGTTCTATGTTGAAACCAGTCAGTCAGTCATTCACTAGCACCTTGGTAAATTGAAGTACTCAAGTAATTTCAGTTGCCTCATTAGTAGTAAATATTATGATTTAAAAAAAAATATTCCTTCACTATTTAAGATTATTCTAGTTCATTCCTGTAAAGTTAGTAAGACATTGGAATGATGTTAGTGTAATAGAAAAATTTACACTTTTATTGTTAAACAGCTACCTACCTACCTGCTCTCTTTCTTTTTCTATCGATCTAAAAACGACAATTATTATCTCTGTTTTTTTGTTTCACAAATTTATGATTATTATTATTCCATTTGAGTTCACATTGTGCTCTACTCTCATTTTTTTGTCTGTTATGTATGTGTTTATGTGTGCTGTGCATATGTGTATGGG